TTATTAATTCTCAATAGATATGATCAATTAACTGTCAATAAATTCTTTAGTCAATCATTGCATTCATAGTTAATATTAAAATATTTGCACTTCAAAATTAGTAGCTGTATGATTTAAAGAAGCTTGTAGCTAATTTAATTGTAATATGTAATTAACTACTGTTGACCGTTCTTTGTTTGACTGTTGGCTAGATGACATCACCATTTAATGCACGATATATTTCTTACTTTTGGTAAATACAGTAAAATTGCGAAATTAGTGTAAAGAAAAGCAGTTTTAGAAAATGCCCCCAACATATGCCTGTACAAACACAAGTTGTTTAGCAAAGTTTATAAAATTCCTACAATTGTCAGGACTCAGAGTGTAGGACCCAGAATTCAGGCAGACAGAACAGAAGTGATTTAAAAAAAAAAAAAAAGGTTTATTTACTGCTCAGTAATCTGCGGCTCGTCCGCTGGGACAGGATGACTGGAATCTCTGTAAAGGTAGAAACTTAGGTTAGTGACCACGAAACTCTGACAGGGAACAAAGAGCCCAAAAAAGTCCAAAGAGCAGTCCGAAGACAGGTCTGGCAAAACAGATGAGAAAAGGGGCAAGCAAACTCAAAAGTTCAGAAGCAGAAACTAGTCAGGATAAGGTCATCAGAAACACACTGGGTACGCTAGAGAACTCTCACAAACGGCTCGAATAATCTGGCTCTGATGGCTGGGACCAAGCAGTTTAAATAGGAACTGGAATTGGTGGGTCCAATGAGTGTTAATGAAAACTGGGCGGAGCTAAGCAGGTGGATGAAATAAAGCAATAATCCAGCCATCAGTGCCAAGATCATGACAGCAATATAAGATTTAAGAAATATATCCTTAAAAAAAAACTACATAAAACCCAGACTGTGAGTAGGTTGAATCATAGACCGTAATGATTATTGACCAGAAATGTCACATCACTCTTACTGAATCTGAATTTTTTTATATACTGAATAATGGTTCCCCATTGGGTAATTGTGTGAAAAATCCTTTTTGTAAAACAAAGGGTGGCTGGCCAGAAAAGTTAGAGAACTACCCCTTTATACCAACTTTTCTTATATTTTCCAAAATTATTTTTGTTAGTCATGTATGTAAAAACATCCTTTCTCTATCTTTGGCTTCATTTAGTGTGGAGCTTCAATCTCAGCTGGGCTAATATCACTACAGCATAGTAAGGCAATGTGTTGCTGGAACCACCAAATATTCAACAGCCAAGAAAAGAAGTACTCTGTTGGATTTTTTTTACTATAAATTTACGGTAAATTGCTGCCATATATCACAATCTTTCTCTGTAAATATTTCACAGTAAGTTATGGTGAGTCATTTCCACCAAAATCACAGTTAGATGTTGTAACCTCAGTGGCAAAAACTGTGATAAAGCTGAATGTAGCTGGAAATCACAATATGTGGATGTGGAGATTCTTACATTGTTACTGTAAACTCAGTAGCCACTAACTTACCATGAATTTACTATTTAAATAATATGGTAAAAGATTGTACATTGGATTTAACTAGGATCTTAACATGTTTAATCCTTTATTACAAAATTAGAATAGAAAATAATGCAATACACACAGAACTGAAAATGAACACAATCATTAGGTTTGCATTCATTCATAGTCTGTTAGTTTACGGACCAGTGACCTCATAATGGGGCTGATGCACTTTTTCCTTGACTTCAGTCCTGGCTCACGGTTACTGCCCGAGAATGTACCCGTCAATAAGGCAAGGCAAGGTAAGTTTATTTGTAACATGACCATTCAATGCAGTTTATTTCTATAGCGCCAATTCACAACACATGTCATTTCAAGGCACTTTACAGTTCACCAGATCATCCAGTCAAATTGATTCAAATTTTTCTATCAAAGTAAAACCAGTTGTTTGCATCGACTCAGTGACTCGAAGGTAATCCTTTACACTAAGCATGCTTGTAGAAACCTCCAGCAGAACCAGGCTCAGTGTGAGCGGCCATCTGCTGAGGCCCACCGGGGTTCAAGGAGACAGAAGCAGAGATAAGAAAAGGGAACTGTAAAAGGCGGCCCCATCCAGGAAACACACAACCAGGCAGACGAGCTCAGAGCCAGCTCCCATGTCAGAGGATGAAGAGAGCACATCCAGTTAGTCACAGTCAGAGAAACAGGACTACACTGATAAATAGGCTGATTTCAAACATCTACAGGTGCTGGTCATAAAATTAGAATATCATGAAAAAGTAGATTGATTTCAGTAATTCCATTTAAAAAGTGAAACTTGTATATTATATTCATACATTACATACAAACTCATATATTTCAGATGTTTATTTTGTTTAATTTTGATGATTACAAATGACAACAAATGAAAATCTCAAATTCATCATATCAGAAAATTAGAATATTGTGAAAAGGTTCAAAATTGATGGCCCCTGGTGCCACACTCTAATCAGCTAATTAACTCAAACCACCTGCAAAAGCCTTTAAATGGTCTTTCAGTCTAGTTCTATAGGCTACACAATCATGGGGAAGACTGCTGACTTGACAGTTGTCCAAAAGACGACCATCGACACCTTGCACAAGGAGGGCAAGACACAAAAGGTCATCGCTAAAGAGGCTGGCTGTTCACAGAGCTCAGTGTCCAAGCACATTAATAGAGAGGCGAAGGGAAGGAAAAGATGTGGTCGAAAAAAGTGTACAAGCAAGAGAGATAACCGCACCCTGGAGAGGATTGTGAAACAAAACCCATTCAAAAATGTGGGGGAGATTCACAAAGAGTGGACTGCAGCTGGAGTGAGTGCTTCAAGAACCACCACACACAGACGTATGAAAGACATGGGTTTCTGCTGTCGCATTCCTTGTGTCAAGCCACTCTTGAACCACAGACAGCGTCAGAAGCGTCTTGCCTGGGCTAAAGAGAAACAGGACTGGACTGCTGGTGAGTGGTCCAAAGTCATGTTCTCTGATGAAAGTAAATTTTGCATTTCCTTTGGAAATCAAGGTCCCAGAGTCTGGAGGAAAAGAAGAGAGGCACTTCATCCACGTTGCTTGAAGTCCAGTGTAAAGTTTCCACAGTCAGTGATGGTTTGGGGTGCCATGTCATCTGCTGGTGTTGGTCCATTGTGTTTTCTGAGGTCCAGGGTCAACGCAGCCACATACCAGGAAGTTTTAGAGCACTTCATGCTTCCTGCAGCTGACCAACTTTTTGGAGATGCAGATTTCATTTTCCAACAGGACTTGGCACCTGCACACAGTGCCAAAGCTACCAGTACCTGGTTGAAGGACCATGGTATCCCTGTTCTTAATTGGCCAGCAAACTCTCCTGACCTTAACCCCATAGAAAATCTATGGGGTATTGTGAAGAAGAAGATGCAATACACCAGACCCAACAATTCAGAAGAGCTAAAAGCCACTATTAGAGCAACCTGGGCTATCATAACACCTGAGCAGTGCCACAGACTGATCGACTCCATGCCACGCCGCATTGCTGCAGTAATACAGGCCAAAGGAGGCCCAACTAAATACTGAGTGCTGTACATGCTCATACTTTTCATGTTCATACTTTTCAGTTGGCCAACATTTCTATAAATCCTTTGTTTTTATTGGTCTTCAGTAATATTCTAATTTTCTGATATGATGAATTTGAGATTTTCATTTGTTGTCATTTGTAATCATCAAAATTAAACAAAATAAACATCTGAAATATATGAGTTTGTATGTAATGTATGAATATAATATACAAGTTTCACTTTTTAAATGGAATTACTGAAATCAATCTACTTTTTCATGATATTCTAATTTTATGACCAGCACCTGTATAAATAAAGGTGTTGATGGCAGCAGCACAGCTGATATGTCTCTCCAGGATGAAGGGTTTGGTGTAGAAGGCTTCCAGCCGTACATGTTTGAGCCCTTGCCTCGCAACGCTGCCAGTTCTGTTAGCTCTACGCCTGCTGAAGACACAGACGTCCATCCCCGTGAACACTGGGACGGAACTCAATGGGAAAGGAAATTGTTCTTATTTCTTATTTCAATCGTTGCGTATATTAGCTGCGACATATGAATCAAGATGCTATGACTGAAAAATTTTGATTGACAGATTAACGTTGATATATGATTGGCCGAAATTAGGTGTTCAGGCTGAGGAATAACTAACTGGCCTGCAGAAGATAATGGAAAAAAAACAGATTTAAAGACAGGATTTTTTTTTTAAATAGAATGTTTTTTAACTTTTGGGACAATATGGTCTGATAATGAGCAGATTTATATACATGTTTAAGCCAGAAGGATTTGAAAGTTAAATATGATTTCCCTACGACTTTAAATAATCCTTATAAACAACAGATAAAATTAAATACCTTATGCTGATATTTTAAAGGTCTTAATGTGAACAGTAGTGTTGAAACTAAGCCTTTAGTCGGAAGTGGGAAAGGAAATGCATTGCTTTACGTTTCTTAGAAACCGTGAGAACTGAAATTAAACTCTCTAGATTTGGCCTTAAAGTGTAAATCAAACTATTGGAACTATCTTTCGAAACATTCCCATAAAAGGAAGTAAAACTGACGTTCATCTATTGAGACATAATTCCCAGTTACAAATACCACACCAATGCTTATTTTCTAAATGCATGTCATAAAAGCAACATCTGTTTCTATGGCAGGAGAAGTGGCACAGTCTGAAAGGAAATGGAGTTAGTCAAAACAACTCAAATCTTAGTTTCACAATGAAACCACAGACCAATGTTGCATCACTTGCCCATTTGTAGAAGCACCAGGTCTGCGTGAAGTAAAAGAAGAAGTTAGATAACTACAAAGAAAACTTGTTCAGATTACATAATTACATGTTGGTATTTCCAAAATGAAAAATCTCAATAAAAATATATTGGTTAAAAAAAAAAATTAAAAGTCATCATCTTATCAGTTGACTTATCTCAATATGCTGCTCTCATTGGTTCAATGTTGGACTATTCTTTAAAACTCATAGAGTGTAGCTCAGCAGCAGCTAACAGAACAGACGAAGAGAGAGAGAGAGAGAGAGCTTTTATTGTCATACTTCAGCCATGGTTACTCAGAGTTACCAGGAGGACATGTAAACTAGCGGCTCTCTTAAAGAAGTGCTAATCGAATGAATCTACAAGCAGGAGGTGACCTACTTTAACGCCCTTTGCACATCTATTCTAGCATCTGTTTTGCTTCAGAAACGTCCCTGGAACTCGGGGGGACAGCTAGACGGCAAGCACAGGCACGTTCTAGGTGTTCCCAATGGCCTCGGAAGTGACTGTTAGAGACTGTTTGATCCAAAGGTAAGTCTATCTGTGTTCTGGATCCAGTGGGCTTGCATACATGAAGTCCATACTTTTGGCATATCCGACATAAATAATCAGCTGGATTTATCAGCTTAACTCTGGTTAAACCCTGGACTGGAAAAACCATCTAGAAATCTGTACAAATTTCTTAAAGTAAGTGTATTTACCCTTAATTTGAGAAGGTACATGAGATAGTTTTCTAACGGAATTAATATTTTTAGTCTTACACAACAAAAAATGCCTTCTAAAAAATAAGAAAAACATTAAGTGTTTTACGTGAATAATTGCTTATTTTGAGCAAAATAATCTGCCAGTGCAGCAAGCAAATGAGACTTAGTAAGATTTCTTAAAACAAGAACATAATATCCAAGTAGTAAGCATCCAAAAAAACTTAAATTAAGTAGAAAAATCTATTTTTTCTTTTACTTGTTAAGATTTTCTCTCTTATTTTAAGCAATTTATTCTCATTTATTAGTCATTATTGCTTAGAATGAAATATCCTCTAACCAATTGTTGCTCAAAACAAGCATACAATAGGCTTAAAAACAAGTCAAATAATCTTAACAATACTTAGTCTTACTAAGAAAATGCATTGAAAAACAAGTGTAAAAAGACCAAAATGCTGAATTCAAGTTTATTAAACTTGTATAGATTTTCCTTTTTTGCAGTGTAAACAATGATAATTAGATCATATGCACTAGAAATTTGACAATGCAATTGTGTTTTCTTATTTTAAGTGTAAATTGTCTTATTCCATTGACAAAATGTCTCTTTTACCTCCTCAGTTCAAGAAAAAATGCACTTATTTTAATTTTTTCAAGTCTGAACGTTGCTTTAATAATCCAGAATGAAAAGTTGTTAACATTTCAATCAGAATTTAATGCATGAAATGGAAATTTAAACTGAATACTGTCCTTCATTCAGCTGACAGTGTATCTTCTAAAACTTTACACATGAGCATGTTTTTACCTGTGGCATGTCTGTTATTCTCACATTGTTTCCAGCATGACCAAAAAAAAACCACACAACATGTCGCTGCTTGTTTCTGCTCTTTTCTAGTCATGCAACTTTCACATTGAAGCTCAAACTGTGACAAGTTACAGTTTCTTTACCTCCACAAATGTTTCTTCTAAAACCTGGTGAATGCCTCTGAACAGGAACTTACAACAGCAAATGGTAGGTATTCTGCTAATATTTACTTCCTATTTATAGATTTTATTATGCGTCTGCAGTGAAGGTAAAATGTGAATAGTTAGTGGGGGGGGGGTGTCTTTGGGATTAGCGGTTGTGTTTTGTGTAACTGTTTGAATGTAGAAGAGAGTTTTGCTGTGCAAAAAATGCACTACAGTTGAATCAGTTTTACTTTGATTAAGCGTATTTTCCTTTGTTTAGAGACCTAAGGAAGGCAATTTTACATTGGAAAAATGGTTTATGTTTAAAATTAGAAATAACAAACAAAGTTAACTTAAGTGCATAATATCTAATTATCTTACCTTAAGGGCAAAAATACTAATTTCATTGAGATTATATCTTTATTTGCTCAAATTAAAGGCAAATACACTCATTTTAAGATTTTTTTATTACGGTATTAGATCAGTGTTTTGCAGTGTACAGCTGGTAGATCAGAGTAGGTTTCTGTAGTTACTGAGAACAAAGAAGACACATACTGCTGGAATGTTAACATTTCCGGCAAGCTTAAAGGATGTCTCCCACATCACAATTTCTTTTTATCTATGCTACCAAAGATAAAACAATCTCTGACTCAAACCAGAGGCTTTACACTGCAAAAACAATCTAGAAATGAGCAAAAATGTCTTAATTTAGTGTATTTACCATTAATGAGATTATCTGCCAACGGAATGAGTATTTTTACTCTTAAAATAAGATATTTAGATAAAAATGCACATGAAATAATCCTATTTTAAATGTAAATCTTGTTCCTTTGGCAAAATGTTTCTTTTACCTTCACAATCCAAGAACAAATGCACTTATTTTAAGAAAAAATTACTTTTTTTTTTTACTTTTTTTTTTTCCAGTGTAGGAAGTTTTCTTTCATGATGGAGAACTTAAACGTCCAGGTTATGAAAAAAAAGAAAAATTTTATTCTGGAATATACTGTAAATGCTGTGAGGTTTAGATTTCTCTTTCATGCCAAAAGTCAGCAATTAATTGGCACAGCTAAAAACATTTAATGTGTTTTTGTCACTATTTGTTTTCCTGTACCTTTTGTGGATAAGTCAGATAATGTTTCTGTGGATATTTTAAACCACGGAAACATTACCAGCTCCCTGCAGACCGAGGCGGATGCAGATCTTAATGGTGTCTTGAATCATCAATAAAGAGGAAGTCCATCTTGTCGACCTGACGTGCCTCTAAGCAGCATTCAAAGATGTTTTGTTCCTCTTTTTTCAGAGAAAACTCTCCAATGAAAGGAACTAGGCGTTGGATTTACTATTTCACACTTTCCCTAATAATGGGAATTGTATTTCTATACCACTGGTCATCACAAGCCTCAATGAAAATCTGGTTTTCGAGGACCAGCGACAACAATGGGACAACAGCAGAGAGTGTAAGTACTTTAAACCACTTCCATTAAAGATAATGTTAAAGATCCTATGTAGAAATATGACACTATGGACCCAGAATTAAGATTTTAAGGATCATCTTAAGAAAATGTGACAGAGGTCTTGGTAGATTTAAATATTCAAAATAATCATGTGGAAAAAAATATTACTTGTTACTGTTGAAAAATAAAAATCATAGACAGCTGCTATTTGCCTATTTTTGATTGTTTAGAAGCAGAAAAGACTTTTAATGTATAGTAAATGTGGCATCATGTCAGACGTTGGACCTTAGAGGAGGAAGTTATGAAACACTCATTGAAAACAGTGGGACCTTCTACAGTGCACTGGAAAAAACCTATCTATCTAAATCTAGATAAGTCATTTTTTTCTTAAAATAAGTGCATTTGTTCTTGGAGACATTTAGCCATCGGACCATGACAATTTACATTTAAAATAAGAAAACACAATCAACATATTCTCATTATCAGTTCGTATGAAATCGTACGAAAAGTTATGCACACTATTTCGTATGTTTTGGATGTTTTTCCTCAAAAAACCAGATCAGTGCGCATGCGCAGGCAGACAGACAAAAAAAGCAGATCCACGGACGGACGTAAAACTGGGAAAAACAGTGCAATCATCACTTATTCACCTCTCTAACTACGTTGCTTGCTGTTTTATATCTTAGGGTTGGGGTTAAGGTCAGGGTTAGGGCTAATTGTATGTTAAATTCTATGTTATTGAATGGTGCGTAAGATGCGCATGCGCATACGACGAAAAAAACGTCCAAAACGTACAAAATTACGGTGCATAACTTTTCGTACGATTTCATACGAACTCATGATGAGAATACACTGACACAATTGCGTTGTCTTATTTCAAGTGCATATTATCTAATTATCTTATTTTTAGAGTAAAAATACTCATTCTATTTGCAAACTACCTAATTTACCTGCTCAAATTAAGGATAAAAACACTTAATTTAAGATATTTTTACTTATTTCTAGGTCGTTTTGACAGTGTGGCTAAGGGATGCAAACTCATACACAGGGCGGCCAACTTTTCACCAAATCCTGGACTGAGATTTTGAAAGAGTTTGGACAGGCCACACTTGTCATGTTTCTATTTACTGGAAAAAATTCAAATCTAGATAAGTCAGTTTTCTTTAAATAAGTGCATTTGTTCTTGGATTGAGGAGGTAAAGGAGACATTTTGCCAATGGAACAAGACAATTTATATTTAAACTAAGAAAACAAAATTGCAAGGTATTTTAATACATAAATAAGTGCCATGGAGTTGAGTTTTAATGTCTGTCATTTTTTAGTGTGACAAATTGGTGATATGGAGTGTGTGCGTTTAAAGACCCTGAGATGCGCGAGTGTCACCCATGTCGGATGGGTGAGAGTTGACTGCCCTGCATACATGATTTTACAGCAAATTCAAACGTTCCTTCAACGAAAAAATTAGACTAATAAACCCAACAATGAGGCAAACAAACAACCAAAATAATGCCAGAAAACACTAAAAACATGACCAGCAATGTGATTAGCACACCCAGAAATGAGACTGTAAAACACAACAATAGAAATGGCAAACATAAAAATAAGGCTAGAAAACCTAAATATAATGCTAGCCGAGACTAAGAAAAAACTGAGACTAACAAACCCATCAATGAGATTAGCAAATCCAATTTGCCAGTCGGTTGCCAGGCCCACCAATGCTAATGCTTACCTTTTGGTTAGCATTTTGACTGATGCTTATCTTGGTTAGCATTAAATGTTCAAAAGAAAAGCAACCTCAAAAAAAAAATTACCTGTTTTATTTTTGTAGAAACTACCTTTGATAAACCTTATAATCAGCTACCGACAGGTAGTGACGTTATGAGGTTAGCCGAGGCTTTGAGGCCCGTGTTGCATTATGAAGGGGGCGTTTCCCCAAAGCACGTGTCGAGGCGTGATTCATTTAGGGGAGGGGCCATAATTGGTGACGTCCAATGCCTCGCTACCGTGATAATACATGAGCACTTCAGTGGTTCAGACCATGCACGAACTTCGACAGGCATTTAAACAGCCTCAAGATGTGAGAGGCGTTGACTGGACCGGACCAGGAACCCCGGCGGCTGGGGGCTGAGCAAACGAACCGAACCCGGTGATGGCATGCTTCCCCCACCTGCCTTACCCTGCTTCCTGCACAGTAAAGCAGGCAGGTATTCATATGAAGCCTCATGAACTGTGGGGATTGTTGAAGAAATTTGGCCAAACGGTTCAATGCCTCATGAGGCTTCATCTCGCCATCACTACCGAGGGGACAAAATTTCCCCACTTTCCTAAATAGGCCATTGGCTGGTCCATGTCTGGTCCCCTACAATTCCTTTTTTAGACATCAAACTTTGTACTAAAATATTCTTTCTGTCAAGATTTTTGAAGATTAAGACCTAAATAGAAGCATCTTCTTCTGGTCAGTTCCTGTAATTTTGTGAAAACGTGGAGTCAGAGTAAATAAAATGCACGCCCAGGAGAAGGCCAGTGGCTGGCAGTTGGAGGCGATTCTGCTGGGCATCGCAGGGAAGTGGGCTGCCATTCGGCTGCCGTTCGACTGGGAGGGGCCAGTTCCGGATAATGTATTAAAAATTTACAACATCTCTTATTGTAATAAATGTATATTGGGAAGTAGGAAGCAAAACTGTTAGAGACTTGAATTGTTTTTTATATGATCTCAGAAGGAGAGAAAAATACTTTTTTTGAGTTGAGATGTAAAAAAAAAAAGTCTCTAAAACATTTAAATTCTCCCTATGAACCCAGAAATTAAAGACCCAGGTACTTGATACGTTGCACAAAGTGACGTCTTCTTCAACAACAGAAAACTTTGCACCCAAGGCTGCCCTAAACGCCTGTTCAAAACAAATCCCTTTAAACTCCTTTCAATCTCAGCAGTTACCATCAGACTTATTAATGTTTAGCATAACATGGACAATGAAACAAAGTGATTTTTTTAAATAACAAAACAGAATTAAATATTAATAGGAAAGAGAATGGAATATTTTCCCCCATAGATACCTGAAACCTTTAGACAGAACCTATTTACTGAGAACTTTGTGAACAACACAATAAATAAAAAGCATTTTTCCCTGCACAGATATCTCCTTATCAGGGTTCACCCTCTCAGTTCTTTGTGGAATACCCTCACCCATATCGGTTCATACTGGATGAGCCAGACAGATGCGGACAGGAGAGCCCCTTCCTGGTGGTCATTATCCCCGTCGCCCCTCATAACCGAGAGGCCCGTGACATCATTCGCAGCACATGGGGAGGACAGACGCAGGTGTTGGGCCAGCTGGTCACCTACTACTTCATCCTGGGAAAGTCTAGAGCAGACAACAACACAGAGCAGCCTGATGAACAGGTGATGTGGCTGCTGCCTTCCCTTAAACCTTCCTTAACTAATAAGATAAGAGAAGCCGACATGGTGCAAGAGTTGAGCAGGGTAAACTGTGAGTTTACTGCTGTCTTTATTTGCTGAATAAGTGATTGATTGATTGATTGATTGATTGATTGATTGATTGATTGATTGATTGATTGATTGATTGATTGATTGATTGATTGATTGATTGATTGATTTTTAAAAACCTATAAAAAGCACGGAGGATCTGGAACCGACAAGGACTACTGGATAGTTGAGGAAACTTCAAAAAAACTGAGCAAAGGTCCGATTGCCTTGGATTTAAGGACTGCACTGAAAAAATGATTTAGAAATAAGTCAACATTTCTTGAATTAAGTGTATTTGCTTTAATCTGAATAGGTAAATTAGACAATCTGCCAATGGAATGATTATTTTTACTCTGAAATAAGATAATTAGATGCTCTGCACTTAAAATAAGACAATGCAATTGTTTTTTTCTTAATCTATATGTAAATTGTCTTTTTCCATTGGCAGTGTCTCCCTAATTCAAGAAAAAATGCAATTATTTTAATAAAAAAAAATGAATTATTTAGATTTAGATTTTTTCCAGTGTGTTTTGTAGTCAATACAAGTAGGAATGTAAAACTATAATGAACTTATGATTAAATGTTGATTAATGGTGTATTTAGTCCAAGGAATTGATAATGTCCACTTAAATCTCCAGTTAGTCATAATCTCAGGGATGTACTGACACATGAACATAAATTCTTAATCTCTCTGTTTGTGTTGCTCTAGAAATGGATATTTATAATTAAATAGACCAGGTTTCTCATTTATGGAGGCAAATACCTTTGTGCTTTGGCAGCTCAGAGCTAACAAACGAGTGATTTTAGAGATCACCATTGTGCCCGAATGGTACTGCAGCAAATATAGAGTAACAAAATCAGTAACTTTTAAACATGTAGCATTCAGAGCTGTAAATAAAACATGATGAATTAGGATTATTTATATCAAACGACCGCCTAGCTAGACACCAAAATAACTTTTCTGATGCATACCTCGGCTACTTCTCTCTGGCTCCTTTGTAGACTCCTGACATCACACAGGGCCATTGTCAGCCAAATCTTTTAGTGCTTTCTGCCTATCAGCATCAAGCAGCCAGCTTCATGACCTGCCCCTGCTCCATAGACCTCATAAGAGGTTTAGCCTCACTGGAAGGGAGGTATTTTTGTATTTGTCCAATCAGGGCTCTAGTTTTTCACTGATTACTTCAATGCACGGAGACTCAGACTGAATGGGGATTTCATAGAGCCCAACAGACAGCATCTTGCTGCATCACAGTCGAGGGGCAATCACGCCTCAGAGGGCTTAAAGGCTTATTAATGCAAAACATACTGATTAAATCAAGCACATTTTAGTGCATATTCAATGCAGTTTGATATGACAGGCTTATTTTATGTCATATACATCGGCGTCGCCAGACCCCATTTACTGGGGCACGTGCCCCAGTATAAATGAGCTGTGCCCCAGTATAAATCTCATGAATATTTGCAACAGTGATACATTTTTTTAATGCATCAATTTAGATAATGGGAGGAGACGTATATTTCTACTCAAATGCGTACATCCAAATTGAGGATGTATTAGCGCCCCGACGTCAGCGCATGTCACTGCATGAACTGCAGGTAAACTAACATGCTGCTCTCAGCTGAGTTGGATGGGACACTGTGCGGTCGCGACGCATTTTTAGTTCTGGTAACGTTTCTTACCTGTCAATTTTATTATTTTCTCAGTGAAACCACATGATTTATAGGCTACTAACTGAAAATTACTGCATTGGATGGAGATCAGGAAATTCCTCACGAAGAAGAGACAGGAAAGCAGTAAAACAAGATGAGAGAGAGGGAGGAAAGGTCCCGTGATGAATTAGTGTTTTAAGCTAAGCAGTTACATTAGGGACGTTATAAGCAATATGATAGATATTTACATAATTATAAATTTACGTTTTATAATGTTTGCTGTAGAGAATGAGAATGAAGGTGCTGGAGTAGGAAAGGGAGGAGGAGGCGAGACTGACAGGCAAGAGACAGGTGAGAGACAGGAGAGACAGGACCATGAAGGTGATGAGGATGCAACAACCAGTGTCCACAAACAAGAAGGGGACATTAGTGACTTAGGGGGAAAGCATGATGGCCCTAAACAAGTTGTCCCACCATCCCCAGGACAAATTTGGAGTAAAAAAAACGTTCATTTAATTCAAAATGGTTTGAAAGCTTTTTATGGTTGAAAAAGAAAGCCTTGTCATCAAGGATATGCAGTGTGTTTTCAACTTGCTTGATAAGATCATGTTCCCCACACTAACGCAGGTCATCCAGATCTCCCTCACAATCCCAGTCTACAGCTGTAGTTGTGAAAGGTCATTCAGTGTGTTGAGAAGGTTCCACACTTGGCTGAGGTGCACAATGGGACAAGACAGGCTCCATCATCCTGCTATTTTATCAGTTGAAAAGGAAGAACTTTCTAAGCTGAGTCAAGTGATTGACCGCTTTGCAAAAATGAAAAATAGGAGGTACACTATAATGCTCAAAAAATAAAAGAAAAACTTAGTTCAGGTTGACTTAAACTTTCCCCTGAACTAAAACTCTGTAACCTAGGAATTAATGATTACTTCAGAATGTGTATAAGGAAACTTTTTATTTTTAAAGTTGGTAATGTCTTATTTTTTATAGCTGCAATGTTGAAAATGTTCATGTTTGTTAAAACAAATATGCTCTTACACTCACTAATATCTCAACTGGTAATTTTGGTAGGAATGTATCAGGGTGGGGCAGTGTGCTTGTCTGTATTTGTGTATGGCAGGAGGGGCATATGCAGTAGGGGGCCAGTGCCCCAGTAAAGCTTTGTGCCTAGCAACGCCCCTGGTCATACATGTGACCAATTATTTTTTTTAAATAGCCTCTGCTGCGATTTTTGAGTCACTTATATTAATAATATTTCTTTTCTTCCTAAACTATCGTTGTCGTTCTCTCTCAGTTGTTCACTTCATGCACCCAAAGCTGTTTATTCTGTCTTTCTTTAGCTCACCGTCATGATAACCATCGACGGACTGGAGTGTGAGGCTAGATAAAATGAGGGGTGAAGTGAAGAACCAGAAGGGAGCATATTCAGTGATGTTCCTCTGTTTTTGATCATGTTTTATCCAAACAAACAAAAAGCTTTGAAATACAGAAAAGGACAACAACAAATGATCATTGGATGTTTTATCTGGTTCCCCCCTCTAGCTGGGCAGGCGTCCTGCTGTATATAGTGTTTTTCGCATTGTTCACAGATGCTGGTCTATCTAAAAATGTTTTATATATGTTTTATATGGGTAGAAGTGTGAAGTAACCAAACACGAACGTCTATCATGTCAACAGTTTTAAATGTGTTAGTTGAAGGCTCAAGAAGAGCATGTTATGTTTGCTCTTATGCCCCAAATGTCACAATTTGTTCTTGTTATTTTTTAATATTTGACTAAAGAGATGTGTTCAGTGTTGCTGACCGCAGCTTTAAATGTTGCTTTCCACAGATTCTAGCTGAAAGCCAGGATCATCATGATATCCTCCAGAGTAACTTCTTGGACAGCTACAAAAACCTCACCATTAAAACCATGGTCATGCTGGAGTGGCTCACCTCTCACTGTCCAAAAACCTCCTATGCTATGAAGATCGACTCAGACACCTTCCTCAATGTACACAATCTTGTGGAGATGCTCTTAAAAGCCCCCTGCAGGGACTATATGACAGGCCTGGTGGCAAGGGATGCTATTGTTCTTCGGGATCCTTCCTCCAAGTGGTTCCTGTCTTTGGACATCTTCCCTGAGTACTCTTACCCTCCATACGCTCTGGGACTGGGCTACGTCTTCTCCCTGGATTTACCCAATCGGATACTAGAGGCTTCTAGACATGTAAAGGCGCTCTATATTGAAGATGTGTATGTGGGTTTGTGCATGAGACATGTGGGAGCACCACTGACAGACCCGCCTCACAACGGTTTGTTCATTGTCAACACACCTCCTGAAATTAACTTTTGTTACTTGGCCTCTGTTGTCGCAACCCTACTGAAAGACTCAAAGCAGATCTTGGATGTATGGAAGGTTTATAAGACTCAACCAAAGGCTGGGTGTTAGTACTCCAGAATATAGTGCCTTTTCTCCCTGCACTGTGTCCTGTAAGGTGGTACGAGTTCATGCAGAGACTCAATGACTACCTCTAAAGGTGCAAAGTCACTTTACACTTTATAAAAATTAATATGTTAATAGCTCAGTCTGGTTGCATACAATTTTTTTTTATTACATCTAACTTGTTATTCTTTAGTTTTACACTTTGTTTGGGCTCAGTTTGTTAGTAAAAAAAGCACTTCATGGATATTTACAATACGAGGTACGATGCTGCGCCGGGGGTAAATAAGGAAGTAGCCTACTGTGGCTAAACTAGTTAGCAACTTATAGCAGCGTGTGGAAACGAGGGCCCCTGTAGCAGTGTTAATTTCATCATCTTTTTTAAACTTAGTCACAATGACAAAAATCAATTTTAGTGTTTCTCATATTTAGTCATTGTAACAGATGGTGTCAGGGGCAGTCCTGATTAGATTGATGTCACTTTTATTACCTTGTCTTTTCACTTCCTGTTTTATTTTGGTACTCATTTCCTCTCTCGTTTTAGGCAGCTTCACTTCCTGAGTTCCTTCCTGCAATCAGGATCTGCCACAGCCTAATGCAATTCACCTGGTGTATGTGCTCCTCTTTTGTTTGTTAGAGTATTTAGTTCCCACCCTTGCAACTTCCTTTTGCCAGTTCGTCTTAGTCTTTTGAGCTTAGCGTTCCAGCCTTTTTGCTGGATTTAGATTTAGCTTTCTTGTGTTTTGACCCCTGCTTGGATTTGGACCTGCCTTGCCTCTGCTTTTTGATACTTCTGTTTCTGCTGGATTTTTTGTTGTTCAACCCTGGACTGAATTAAAAGAACTTTGAGTTTTAATCCAATGTGTCAGGTCTTGCATTTCAGTCCTTCATTTCTGAGCCTTGTGACAGATGGTGTCCTGGGGTATCTCCTCCCAGATCTGGACCAGGGCATCACTGAGCTCATGGACAGTCTGAGGTGCAACCTGGCGGCGTCGAATGAATCGCAACATAATGTCCCAGAGGTGTTCTATTGGATTTAGGTCAGGCGAGCTTGAGGGCCAATCAATGGTATCAATTCCTCATCCTCCAGGAACTGCCTGCATACTCTCACCACATGAGGCCAGGCATTGTCGTGCACCAGGAGGAACCCAGGACCCACTGCACCAGCATAGGATCTGACAATGGGTGCAAGGATTTCATCCCGGTATCTAATGGCAGTCAGGGTGCCGTTGTCTAGCCTGCATAGGTCTGTGCGTCCCTCCATGGATATACCTCCCCAGACCATCACTGACCCACTACCAAACCGTTCATGCTGAACGATGGTACAGGCAGCATAACGTTCTCCACGGCTTCTCCAGACCCTTTCACATCTGTCACATGTGCTCAGGGTGAATCTGCTCTCATCTGTGAAAAGCACAGGGCGCCAGTGGTGGAATTGCCAATTTGGTGTTCTGTGGCACATGACAATTGAGCTCCATGGTGCCGGGCAGTGGGCACAGGGCCCACTAGAGGACGTTGGGCCCTCAGGCCATCCTGGTGAAGTCTGTTTCTGATTGTTTGGTCAGAGACATTCACACCAGTAGCCTGCTGGAGGTCATTTTGTAGGGCTCTGGCAGTGCTCCTCCTGCTCCTCCTTGTGCAAGGAGGAGCAGGAGGAGCAGACACCAGTCCTGCTGAGTGCTTGTAGACCTTCTACAGCCCTGTCCAGCTCTCCTGGAGTAGCTGTCTGTCTCCTGGAATCTCCTCCATGCTCTTGAGAATGCGCTGGGAGACACAGCAAACCTTCTGGCCATGGCACGTTTTGATGTGCCATTCTGGAGGAGTTGGACCACCTGCAAAACCTCTGTAGGGTCCAGGTAGCTCCTCATACTAACAGTAGTGACAGTGACCCTAGCCAAATACAACACTGGTGAAAAAGAGTCAGAAAACATGAGAGGGGGAAAAAATGTCAGTGGCCTCCACCTGTTTTGATGGTCGTCTTGTTGTTGCCCCTCTAGCAGGGGCGTGCATACATAGACACTAGGTGGTGCTAAAGCACTAGGAAGTTTGCCCTTTATCAGAGAAAATGCCCTTTTGAAACTCGTTTTTTTTTTTATTATTATTATTAATATTAATAAGATTTTACTGAGGTCGGTTTTGAAATGATCTTTTGAAAACCTGAGCCATTAAAAACGACTGAAACAATGCCCCGAAATGAGCTACCTACTTGCGCACAAACGACCCTCTCTCACTTCCTTTGTCACGTGACCTCGCTCGGTCGCCCGCAGGGCATACCAGATGCGCCGCATCATAGCAGTTCAGTAAGCGTCTTCAGATAACAGGAACGGTCGCTGACAGGCTGCTTCTCCCGTGCCCCATTAGCCAGGTAATATACAGATCAAGCAAAATCATTTTGTTGTGCATTAAAATGTCTCATTCAGCAGCACCAAACAAGCATTTTGCCGACTGGTCACCTGATAAACTAGTTGTCTCCTTGTAAGATGCTATTTTACTTATTATATTTTATATCCATATTTTTATCTTAAGTGTATATATTAGTCTATTTTATTGCATGACGTATACCCACAGTTTTTAGATATTTTTATAATTTTATTTACCTATTCCATATTATATGTTTCATGTTGCACAATTGTACCACAAAAAATTCCTAGTTTGTGAACTCCTTCACTAACAATGGCAATAAACCTGATTCTGATTCTGAAAGTTTTACACTGTAGCCCAAGTCAATGACAGATAACGTGAGGACGACCACATAGGCTACAAATAATTTCGGTAGAGTTTGCAATTGCAAATACGTAAGAGGATTAGGGCCACTGGAAAAAAAATAAGTTAACTGATTTTTAAATTTTATTTCAGTTTAGTATGGGAAAAAAATCAGAATTCTGACTTTAATCTCAGAATTCTGTTGTATAGGTTTTGTTAGGCAACATAAATTAACACATTTCGGTCTCTTTACTGTCTTAATTGTATATTGATTTAGTAATTGCAGTACAATGCAAAGAAAGGAGGGTTAATCGTTTTGAAAAATCTTAAAAGCTGTTCACATTTTATTTTTAAGTGGTTTGTGAAGCAGGTATTAAAATAGCTATTATTTTGTAGGCTACCATAAGTCATATCCACGTGACAAGACTTCCAGTCATGTTGCCCTAATAGCCCATTATTTAAACTAATGTGGCATATTTGTTAAAGCTATTATTATTATTATTATTATTATTGTCATGATGGTTATTATTATTATATTGTAGCCAGTCACAGCAGGGAAGCTCTATACCATCAACATCTACCAGGACAGGAGATGAGGAAGAGTTCAGGGAGACACAGAGACAGAAAAAGACCAGGATGAGGGAGAGCAGCAGGATGAGGGAGAACAGCAGGATGAGGGAAAACGGGGAGATGAGCCAGATGAAAGAAAAAGAAAGATAAGCTTTAGTCTGTTCTGTTGGTGGTGTGACTTTTTTTCATTGAAAACTCACGTTTAGAGAATGTTACAAATAAAAGTCAAATTTCATTCAACATGCGTGTATTTTTTTTATAATTAAGTGTTCCACGTGCGCTAAAAAGTGCCCTCCCCCCCCCTCCTGAGCACCTGCCCCCCAAAATGTCTGTGCACGCCTCTGCCCTCTAGTGCACCTGTTGTTAATTTCATAAACACCACAGCAGCTAAAACTGATTAACAACCCCCTCTGCTACTTACCTGACCAGATCAATATCCCAGAAGTTTAATTAACTTTATGCTTTACTCTGATTACAAAGTGTTCCTTAAAATTTTTGAGTAGTGCATTTTCATGGCTTCAGACAATGGACTTGCATCTGTACTGGTCCTGTTAGATCTCAGTGCTGCATTTGATACAGTTGATCATAATATTCTTTTAGAGGGACTTGAATATTTTGTAGTAATTAAAGGAACAGCATTAGACTGGTTTAAATCTTATCTATCTGATCGATTTGAGTTTGTTCACATTAATGACAAATCTTCCTCATGCCCAAAAGTTTCCTGTGGAGTACCACAGGGATCAGTGCTAGGACCAATTCTCTTTACTATATATATGCTCCACTATGGGTAGAATTATTAGACAGCATGGAATTAATTTTCACGTTTATGCTAATGATAAACAGCCAGATTAAGCTGGTTAGTTTTCCTTAGAAAGAAGGGGGGGGGTTGCCCACGCTGAGGTGTCATTTTACAGTGAAGGATTGAAGAACGGTTGGGCTCTATTAAGTAGCTGCATCAGTTGTCACCATTTGGCTTTCTCATAGTATTATGTGGTAATAACAGCACATTGCAACACCTCTGTTTATGTCAGCTCATCGCATGCAATGCGGGAATTATATGTAGGCTCAGAAACATCAGAAAGGACTCTTGTTGTATTGATGCCTTGCAGCTGACCCAGCCAAACTGGGTACCTGTTCTGCTCTCCTGCACAAAAAAATGATGCTGGCCATATATTTTGCAGTCGGATGTGACAGAGAAAAAGGCAACCAATATATTTCTTTTGACTGCTTACCAGAATAGTTTTTTTTCTCTCAGAAAATCAAATAATAAGATTGCATTGATTAGACTCCTTATAAAAAAAAAAAAAAAAAAAAAAAAAAATCTAACTAAACTGTTTTAATATTGACACAGATTTTAATCCAGGCTGCTGGAGGCTACCCAATGCACTTCAGCTGACCAGGATAAGGTATAAACAACTGGAGGCCATTTCATCTTATATTTATCATTATAAAAAAAAGAAATCCATTTGTTTGTATAAAAACCTATATATAAAATGGTAAGAGGGAAATTCCAACAGACTATACTGATGCAAACTGGGCTTTCCCTGAACACCTTGTTATGTTGCTCACCTCAAACGGGGCTGCTGGTGTATCATCTGTTTACATGATGAAGGAGGGACAAAGACAGTCATTTAATGTAGACATCCTGCTAAACATCTACTAGCTTTTAGCTGATGTTAACCCTCTGTAACAATGGCGTTTTCCTGTTGCCTGGTCTGGTTGATAAAGGTACATTTTCAGCTCTGTGTGCTTTAGGGCTTAGTTGTATTGCCTCTGCTCTGAAAAAACAATGTATAAGATTTACTTAAAAAGATATTTTAAGTATTTGCAAGTTGCAAGTTGTAAAATAGATTTATTTAAACAAGTTAGGTAAAGTGCACTTGTTTTTCATAAGTACAAATAGCATTTTACTAAAAATTTTAAGGCAACACAGAATCAAACAAACCATTCACACACACCTAAGGAGAATTTAACCAGTAAAGGTCCAGAGACATTTTTAATTATAATCTTTTACTTTAAACTGAATTTACACTGAAATAAAAAGCAGGGTTTTATGCATCTATGTTATACATTGCATTTTTAAATAAAAAAAGATAATAATTAAAAAAAAAGTTATATTTTTTCATTATAAAAACTAAAGTGTTTTTTAAAGTAGAAAA